ACCTTCATTTTTCTGAGGCTGGTAATCTTTTTGATAATGTATTGGGAGTCACCCCTGCTCATGCACATTCCTACACCCCTATCCAAACATTAAACAAATTTAGTTTCCAGCCAATCCACGAAAGTAATGTTCTGAAACAACTGTCCTTCCTCAAAGGGTCCTCCTCTACTGGAGCAGATAGTATTCCCGTCTTTGCTGTACAAACTGTTGGTCACCTAATATACAAACCTATAACCCATATTTTCAACCTGTCCATCAAAGAAGCATCAGTTCCTCTAGAATGGAAACATTCCTATGTCTGTACACTTCACAAAGGGGCCCCTAAAGATGATCCAAATAACTACCGACCTATCTAAACTTGATAATAAGCAGTACTGTGCCTGTCTTTTTCTAGACCTGTCCAAAGCTTTTGATACAGTAGACCACAACACCCTGCTTAGTAAGCTAAGTTGCCTCGGTTTTTCCGAAACGCTGTAAAATGGTTACAAAATTACCTTTTTTCTCGCACCCAAACTGTATTCACAGATGGTTGGAGGTCAAACAGTGTTAAGATAACAAAATGGGTTCCACAGGGTTCCATCCTCGGCCCCCTTTTGTTCTCTCTTTATGTCAATGACTTGGGCACTGACCTGGATCATTCCAGGGTAAATCTTTTTGCAGATGACACGATACTGATTACTGCTGGCCGCTCTCCGGATGACGTGATTGCTAAGCTACAAGGTGATTTCAACAAACTACAACATCAGCTAGTTGCTCTTAAACTAGTCCTGAATACCTCTAAAACCAAGGTGCTATGCTTCTCACCAGGACTAAAGCAGGAAGTTATTTTTCCCCAATTACATTCCTTAAATAAGTATCAAATAGAGCAAGTCAAGATCTATAAGTATCTTGGGGTCATCCTGGATTCAAAACTGAATTTTGAAGATCACATTGATTATATTGGTAAAAAGACAAAAATCTAAATTGGTTTTCTGTATCGACACAAGCACTGCTTCCTCCCAATGTTCCGTTTGGAATTGATAAAAGATACCATAATGCCTCTACTTGACTACTGTGACATCGTGTATAAATCAGCCACAAGTACTGTACTGAAGAAGCTTGCTTCCATCTATCACTCGACCTTAAGATTTACATTGAACTGCCCATACAGTGAGGGAAAAAAGTATTTGATCCCCTGCTGATTTTGTAAGTTTGCCCACTGACAAAGAAATGATCAGTCTATAATTTTAATGGTAGGTTTATTTGAACAGTGAGAGACAGAATAACAACAAAAAAATCCAGAAAAACGCATGTCAAAAATGTTATAAATTGATTTGCATTTTAATGAGGGAAATAAGTATTTGACCCCTCTGCAAAACATGTCTTTGTACTTGGTGGCAAACCCCTTGTTGGCAATCACAGAGGTCAGACGTTGCTTGTAGTTGGCCACCAGATTTGCACACATCTCAGGAGGGATTTTGTCCCACTCCTTCTTTGCAGATCTTCTCCAAGTCATTAAGGTTTTGAGGCTGACGTTTGGCAACTCGAACCTTCAGCTCCCTCCACAGATTTTCTATGGGATTAAGGTCTGGAGACTGGCTAGGCCACTCCAGGACCTTAATGTGCTTCTTCTTGAGCCACTCCTTTGTTGCCTAAGCCGTGTGTTTTGGATCATTGTCATGCTGGAATACCCATCCACGACCCATTTTCAATGCCCTGGTTGAGGGAAGGAGGTTCTCACCCAAGATTTGACGGTACATGGCCCCGTCCATCGTCCATTTGATGCGGTGAAGTTGTCCTGTCCCCTTAGCAGAAAAACACCCCATGTTTGACGGTGGGGATGGTGTTCTTGGGGTCATAGGCAGCATTCCTCCTCCTCCAAACACGGCGAGTTGACTTGATGTCAAAGAGCTTCATTTTGGTCTCATCTGACTACAACACTTTCACCCAGTTGTCCTCTGAATCATTCAGATGTTCATTGGCAAACTTCAGACAAATCTTTCTGATTTAGAGGGGGTCAAATACTTATTTCCCTCATTAAAATTCAAATGAATTAATAACATTTTTTACATGCGTTTTTCTGGATTTTTTTGTTGTTATTCTGTCTCTCACTGTTCAAATAAACCTACCATTAAAATTATAGACTGATCATTTCTTTGCCAGTGGACAAACGTACAAAATAAGCAGGGAATCAAATACTTTTCCCCTCACTGTATACGACTCACCGCCGTGATCTCTACATTGGGTCAAACGTAACATCTCTTAATGTTCGACGGCTTGTGCACCAGATCTTATTTATTCACGATGTACTTACAAAAAAATCCGCAGACTACCTGCTGGATCTCCTCTCTGTTTCAAAGAACAAATTTGACCTCAGGTCTTCGCTCATTTACCAGCTTCACATTCCCTATTGCCGTACAAAAACTGGAGGAAGGGCCTTTGCTATTGATGCCCCCAGGGTCTGGAATGCTATTGCTAATAAACTGCAACTTGAATCGCTACCAATGAGATATTCTCTCAAAACTGCTCTAGAGGAGTTGTACACCCCTAGCTGCCACTGCTATTCATTGGCGTAAAATAAAATGTTTTCGCTCCGGATGATGCAGCAAAGTATTATCTGTATTTTGATTTAGCGTACTGATCTTAAAGGTGCATTGAAAAATTTGATACTCTGCCTGATCCTTCTGTTGTTGTGGAGTAACTCATTCAGCCAGCTATGGCTCTAGGATTTGGTGTTACATGTTATTTATGTATTTTATTGTAAAAATCCGGTCACAGTCCCGATGATCACTGTTACGTTGCAATTATGGCTTTATTTTTTGGTGATTTCGAAAAGTTTTTAGGTTTGACATGTTTGTTTTTGTTGTAGTACAGAGTTAGACTGATGGCCTTAATGTAAGTTTTCTTGTGGTTGTTGTTGTTGTTTGACTTGCATCCCATTGGGATTTTTTGCGCACAGCGTTGGTGTACGGTGCTTTTTTCAGGAATATTTTGCTGTTTTTTTCATGGATTTTCTATTTGCACAGTCACAGGCACTTTAAGATGTTTTTCTTGTTCGTGTTTTTGTTTGTTGTGGTTGCACCCGATTCAAGAGCCGAATGGCTCACAGGGCTATACCAAAATAAAGAAACTGAAACTGAAATGTTGAAAGCGTTCCCAGTGTTGTACCCAAGTCACAAGCGGTCTTTTATTCTTGCCACCAACAACCTGCGCTACGGTGTGATACAAGTTGCCCGAGACTGTTGAACTGAAGTAGGCTGTATGATATACGTTTCCTAAGACTATCGGATTGACGTAGGCTGTGTGATACAAGTTTGCCTGAGACTGTTGAACTGAAGTAGGCTGTGTGAATGTCCTGAGCTGACACAAGTTTCCGTGATTCCAGTAGCACGTAGATGCTATGAACAGCAGTTGTCTACAAAGGGCTTTCAAAGCTGTTCAGCCCTAAAAACGTATAATGCAAAACCTGATATTTGTTGAGAATAGGTTTTCCCCTTTTTTCTGGCCAACAAAACAGGTGTTGAGATGTTAAAATACCAAACTGAAACCATCTACAAGGAATCATGTCTGCATTAACCACAATACTTGTGGTCAGAATGCAAAATAAAACATACTCTGATAATATATGCATTGTCTTTCAAACTGATTGGTCCACACCAGAGACAGCTTTCTTTTGAGCCTCGTCTCTAACGGTGTTAGACCAGAGGATGCCAAAAGGCGTACTTATATATTTTTAGTTTTTTTTATATTTATTCAATGCCACTAAATAGCCTCGATTCATGCCTCTTGAATGCAAACTTAACCACTTTTTTCAATGGACACAACAATGCCAGTTATGCCACATTAAATCGTGTTTCATGTGATTTGACTTCTGACCCCGCCGGCGTCCCTTGCCGCCCTCTGACCCCACCCGAGGTAAGTCACCGGGGCTGAAATTACTCACCCGATATTTGACCGGAGCGCGTGACGTGATACGTCACATGAAATTCCCGTCACAGTCGTGTGTGCACCGTCCTCGTTCAAGGCGGGGGTTCATCTTGACGCCTGAGCAAGTTTAATTTGGGTGCTGTTCCTCAAATCCCCCTTTGGTAACCCTGAGCACTATTCACACGTGGCTTTTGCCCGCCAGCACCATGGCGTATGCCGCCGCAGCGGGCTAAAATAAGACGGCATGGACGCGCCGTGCCGATATAATTCCCGGAACAGCATTCTGCACTGTTCCAGTCAAAATTTGCGCACCGGTTTGTCTCACTGCAGGGTCGATCTGGCAACACACGATTCCTAAATACCGGTGCTGTACCCAGCCTCCTGTGGCTCATATATAAAATAAACCCAGAAGAAACATCTAACTTCAATTGCTCTTTATTGCCATTTCATTTACTTGTTGACTCCCAAGTTCTGTGGCCTAACGAAAAGTCGTGACACCTCCCCTGTGAAACTCTGGGTAATTGACTTGTTGACCATCTCGGACGTGTTGCTCTCATTTCGGTTTTTTTCCATCCTCAATTTCTCATTTTCTGTCGTCTTTGTAACCCTGTCACCTTGTGTCCCGAACAATAGTGACTGCTCGCCTCGGGGGGGGCGGTGGGGAGGGGGCTCTCTCGCCTGGGGAAAATTCCAGGCAGCTCACCGATTCAAAAAGAGCGTCGGATTTATTAATCGCACGCATTTGCTCACCTCTCATGAAGCTAGGAATGGTGGCGGGGAGGGCGAATACCCTTTTTGAAGAGCTTCTCAAGAGATTGTTGAATTATATTTTTGTATTGAATGGCAATAAATACAGGGGGGTTGTAATTAGTAATGTAAAAATCGTAAACTCTAGTTAAAGGCATTCTCCCCAATTCCCCATCGTTTGCACTTCACCACACTCAAGACGGAAATAGCATAATCGTCGTGCCTTTGCAACAGCTTTTGCACTGCAAAGATGGCATGGATACGAAATGTATTTATTTATTCATCGGAATAGATTAGCTCACTACCCCCCCCCCCCCCCCCACCACTGTGAATCGAATGACAGGCATGGCCTTTTTTCGTACGGCGGTGTAATTGAGCCGCGTTACGACCATGACAGCCCGCGTGGGGCCCGGAGCCAACCGCTGGCCACGGCACCAACGCCTGCCATCTTCACGCCAAGCCCACCACCACTGCCACCACAACCACCATCACCGCCACCACCACCGCCGCCGCCACCGCTGGCACCACCACCGCCATTCAGATCCTGGCTTCCACCACCGCCGCCCCTGATGATGACCGTGACGCTGCCATTGTGCAGGCCGGGGTGGCCGCCTGACACCACCTGGCCACGGTGGCGCTGCGCGCGGCGCTCGCACAACCCCACGCGGCTCAGCAGGATAAAGACGTCTCGGCGGAAGCTCTTGGTGAAGATGGCGTAGAGTAAGGGGTTGGCGCACGCATTGAGCGGGTAGAAGAGCACGAGCAGGATCTTGGTGTGCGACACCGTGATGAGCGGCAGCTTGGCCGCCGCCAGGATGGCGAAGAAGGAGATGGGCGCCATGCAGGTGAAGTCGGTGAAGATGAGGACGGCCATGCGCTTGGCGATCTTGGCATCGTGGCTGCCCAAGTTATAGCTCGGGTTCCTAACCGTTGAGTAGATGTGCGCGTAGCACACGCAGATGACGAGGAACGCCAGGATGTTGAGGCCCAGGATGAGTTGGACGTAGGCCTGCGATGGCAGCGTCTCGATGTCCATGGGCAGGCAAATGCTCACCTTGGAGTAGCTGCTGATGCCAGCGAGGGGCAGGGCAGCCAGGACCAGCGCCAGAGCCCAGGCCGACGCCATGATGGTGACCGCCTGCGCCGAGGACACCTTGCGGTCGAGGCGCATGGTGTAGATGATGGTGTGCCAGCGCTCCACCGTGATCACGGTGAGCGTGAAGACCGACAGCTCGGAGGAGAAAACCGTGAGGAAGCCCGCGAGCCGGCAGCCGAGGCCCGTCTGCCAGTCGATGGCGTGGTTGTGATACTCGCCGCGGGTGTACACGTCGAAGGACGCGATTGTGAGCAGATACACGCCCATGCAGAGGTCGGCGAAGGCCAGGTTGCACATGAGGAAGCGTGGCACGGCCAGCTTGTAGCGGCTGCTCAGGATGACGAGGATGACGATGGAGTTGCCCAGGACGGCGAGGACGCTCACAAACCACACGCTGAGGCGCAGCAGCTGGTGGCCCATGAGGTCCTCGCAGGGGTTGAAGGCGTCGGGCTCCGGAGCGCACTGCACCAAGTCGAAGTCGCTCGAGGTGAAGCTCTCGTTCTGGAGCTCCTGGTCCATGTAGATGTCTGCGTGGCACCTGGGTGGGCGAGAGGCGTCGTGTCAGCTCGCAGGAGGACCGCTTCAGCTCGGGCCATAAAAGTGTGGCCTTCAAAGTAAAACAAATACTTCATAGTGCAATGGCCCTTCACAGCACATACACGAGCTTCATTAATGATCTTCACTATGATCATCACATCACCATCTTCATGTCATCATCGTTATCATCATCATTTAACGAGCGACGTCCGCGACACGTCGTGTAGAAGGTACTTCTTCTTTATTACTCACACTAGGCACAACACAGGCCAACACTTGTTCTTCCTCACACTGACTGTAACTCTAAGTAATAACACCTCCACTGGCCACACGCACAGCCGATCACTCGGCGTGGTCCCATCGCCCTCACTCAACCACACCGCTGACTGACGGCGTGACAATGACAGCAATGGAAACCTCGCAGGAGATCTTCCACGTGGCCAGACGATGGAGAGAGATGTCGGCAGGTGGCGACGCAGCCAGGACCCAGGACCCCACACATGAGCCCCGAGCCCCGGCTCCGCTCCCCCTTATATCCCCCCAGGCGTGTGGCTAGGCCCCGCCTCCGGCCACGCCCTCTCGTGAAACCTTCAAGCAGGTTCCCGGAGTATCTTGGCTAGCCCCACCTGTCACCTTTGCCCCAGATACACCTCCTTCTCTGATTGGTTGGTACTTCACCATGCCCGTAGTCGTGATTCCCTTTCCGGCCAGCAGGTGTCACCCTGTCATTACAATCATGCCAATCATCAAGGTCGTCTCGTGGTTATCACGCACAACTCCCCGGGCTCGCGGAGCCCCAGTGCGCGGTGATGGTTATGATGGTTACCCCTGTGCCGCCTTGCGGTGCCAGAATGCGCAGCAGTGGCTTGGGTAGGTGAGGTTGGCGGAGCACAGCGAGGAGAAGCTGCCCATGGGGGGCAGCTGCTTGAGATGCCACGCGGCGTTCGCCATCAGCTTCCACACGTGCTGCAGCCCGTGGCGCGGAAGCGAGCGCACGGAGGTACGGGACACGTCCCTGTGGTCACGCACAGGTGGGGCACGCGTGGTCACACACGAGCAACTGCGCGCGAGCAACAAAGAGCAGCACTATTAGAAGCGATTTAACGCGTAATCTTAAATTGGGCACGGTTGTCAGAACTTGTAAAAAAAACATTACCGTAGGAGGGGATCATTGCTCTCTCTCTCGACTGGGTGCCACGTGTAAAGCATCACTCACAGTATGAAAGAGTTCTCCTGGATTCCACTGAAGGCATCCTCGCCGATGGCCCACAGTCTGTCATTGTTGTGGAGGTCCCTGCATGCGCAGCAAGGGGACAACACGGCGAGAGAGGCGTGGCGAATCGTCCCAGCCCCGAGTCCCGCACCACAGCACCAACTCTAAACTAAACTTGTATTTTATTTGACCAGCTAAGGCCCCACTGAGCTATACAGCTCTTTTTCATACGCGACCTGGCCACAAACGAAAGCTTAACCAGGTGGCTCATCGTGTGGAAAATGTCAAGCAGCCAAATACACTAAACGCGTGTTGATTTTAAACGTGGAGGGAAAAACCGGAGGATCTGGATAAAAATCCACGCGATCACGGGGAGAGAGACACCGCAAACTCCAGATATGCAGCAGGCGTCAGGGTCGTGATAGAACCCACGACTTCCTGTATACCAGGCGAGGTAGTTAACATCTCCCCACCGTGGCGCCTCTCATTCCACACCCCCCCCCCCCCCCCCCCCCACGAAATCCACCCCCGCCCCACGAGACGAGATAAGCCCCCCTCGTTTCCACGTGCAAAGCGCCCGCCGCACTGCGCGTGCTTTTCAAGGCGAAGGGCATCGCGATTGCCCCTGCGCCCTGCCCAGCTCTCCCACCCGCCCTCCCGGCAGGCGCACGTTGGTGCGTCCTACTGGGACGAGGCGACAACAACCGTGACGCTGCACGGGAGCCCAGTCCCTCCCTCCCTCCCTCCTCCGTGGCACGATACAGGGTGGTCCAGATATCTTGTGACCCCCTCCATTAATTGACCCCTCAACACTTGTTTCCTTCGCTTATTCATTTCTATTTCACACCCGTTTGGTACACAAAAAGTATTACGTTTAATTAAGAAAATTAAATGGGGGGGGGGGGGGGGGGAGGTGTCACAAGACATGCTGGACTACCCTGTAGTTCAAACTAGACTCAAAGCTTTCGTGACTGGACTGCAGGAATTCCTCTTTGGTTCTTTCGGTAAAGTGGAAAGAAATGTAATTAAATAATAATAGAATACGCCGTTTCGATTGCAAGACAAGCAACCATCATCAGGTACGAATGAATGAGAAAACCTCGTAAACTTGGGCAGGAGTTCCACACAGCCCCCCATCTGCACGGCTCCACCCCAGAAATGAGTAGTCACTCTCATAGCTCGCCTGGGTTGTCCGTATCAATCGGTATCACTCGCGTTTCTCCACCTCGCGTGGAATCAACTCCTGCTCAAGCCCACAGACTCCGACACGTGGAAGTGTGGCAATTCCCACCCCCCCTCCCCCCCCCCCCCAAGTCATTCGATTATTCATTACGATTCAATCGTGTTCGAAATCTCGTTTGTTTCGTATTTCTCTGTTTCCACCATTTCAATGGCACAGTTCCCCTCGATGTAATGTGCGCTCGTACTTAACGTCATTCCGAACGGCGAGGGACGCTTTTGGGCATGGAACACCCTTCTCACACCTCCGATTAGCGCTGTTGGCTACGCACGGTGTGAAGGCAGTGCAACACACATTCTCGCCACATTTTAACGTCAACTCCACTGACAACTACAACGCTGAGACGACTATTTATCGCGTCTCCGTGAACGTGTGCACGAGAATAGGAATATAGGGCCCGATACCATTTGCTTATTACGGGAAGGGCAATCATTGCAATATAGTGGCAGTGCCTTCGATCGATAATGCCTACTCCGAGCCAATCTTCTGCGGGAAACATTGAGCGCGAGACGATGCCCCTGGAGGACAGTGCCAACGTCATCGTTTAGAATTCATCTCTCGAGCCAACGAGACTGCCTCCCGTGACCGGACGCATGGAATCCGTGGGTGCGACGCTCAGGTTCAACCGCCGCCGTGACGCGAGAAGGAGGCTCACAGCAGGTCCAGCATGGTGGCGTTGAAGGCGAAGTCTTCGATTTTCGCAAACTTGTTGTTGAAGAGCCTCCTGCAGAGACAAAGACAAAGGTTCCCACTCCCGCCGTATAGCCGAAGAGAGTGTTGGGGGCCGGCGCTTAGAACGGTTATGTTGTGGCCAGCGCCACGCCTGGCCACCACTTTTGTCTCCCACGTGCTGTTGTTTTATATTACTCGCCTTACAAGGGACTCGTTTGAGGCCGACACGAACTCGGTGGACGCTGGCCAGGAGCGGTGTAGATAATTGTTACTGTTATTAGCCGATAGAAGCAATCGAACTCGGGTCACCGGGTTTGTAACGCAGCGTGGAAACCACTAGGCATATTGGCTAACCTCCTGAACGTGAGATCTATTTATCGTCAATGAATCGACGCATTAAATAGACGCCCACGGTTTGAGTATTTACAATCACACACTCATAGCACGCGACCGATATCCTCACCGTCACTGGAGGGCAACGGCTTGGGGAGAGCTCCATCCAACGGTGGATAGATAATGGCCGATGATGATGACGATGATAGATCACTGGGTCAGTTACGAGCCCCAGATACACAGAGGACGTGTCTCCCTTGACACGAATGCACGTGCATCGCCCCACTAAACGTTGAGCCATCGTTGGCATGTGGTCTAGATCCGTTGGCTCAAAGTTGGCCCAACGTTCCATCCTGGGACCGCGCGGTGAGATTTTGGCGAATACGACAACCGATTTTGGAAAGAGGAGACACAGCGTGTGTTGGGGCCATAATTCTCATCAGCAGAGCGGTCCGGTCAGTGTGATCCGCACACCCCCTTCTCCTCCACTGCACGTGTCATCCCCCCCCCCCCACAACCCTGTACGTTATGCAAGCGGAGAACAGCAACAAGCATCTGGTTATACCAGGGAACTGTTTCCGATTTAAACACTTCCTATTTCTAATTTTAGGAACAAATGCGGATGAGTTAGCAGAGTCTCCGATCATTTCGTGTTCGCTCACGAATGTCACGGGTGCCTGCGTCGTGCTCACAACGAAGGGCACGTGTCTTGCATCACACTTTCGGGATCAAACATGAAAACAAACGACGAGTTTCGGACCGTCCCAAAAAATGCCGTATCTTGAGCCAAGATTTTCCGATTCTTTTTTTCATTTTACTTTTCATTTACGGCCCGAAACTCAGGAAGCACATCGGGTTTGTATTCGTTGTTTGTGAATTTCGTGCGGGGAGGGAAACGGCGCCAGGCTTTGTCAGCTCAAGGTCGCCAGCCACTCCACGCAGGAACAGCAACAAGCACCACGCGGCTGACGAGAGGCTGGTTACGTTGTATGTATGGTTGAAATATTTGTTTCACCGTACGTAGCCAAGCGTGCTAATCGGAGCCACGGGATTTATAACGCGCGTATCACCATCATCACCACCAACATCATCATCATCATTATCGTCACCATCATCGTCGTCGTCATCACCACAACCACACTTCCTCCTGCCAAATACAAAAAAATCATCTCTCCCCGAAGCAACGCTCGTATACCGTTACTCGTTCACAGAGTCAATCGCTGCGCGGCAAGATCATTGATAAACGGCAGCACCGGAGCAATTAAAAGAGCCGAGAACCGTGGTCCCCGGAGGGTTGAAGAACCTGAACGCCAGTGGTTTACGAGTGACAGCTGTTAAATTTATTTGTATTGAGATGGTGGCTATTGGGCCCAGGAATTGCATTGATTAGGTGGATCGTGCCCCGTGCTAACCATAACAAGTATTCCCACAATGCAATGTGCCAGAAACGTCTTATCATTAGCCTTTGATATAAATGAATTTATTTAGAGGAATATGTTCTTTATTATTGAAGGGATTTGTCTTGTTATTCAATGGCTACTATGAGGTAACTTTTCATATGTCCATCTGAAAACGGGCCATCAGCAATTTTTTTTTAAAATGCATTTCCCATAAGGTCCAATGGTGTAAACAAGTGCCATCTCCAACTCTTATCGTCCACTCTGTCCCTCTACTGGTCTCTCTCTGTGCTATGAAGAAGGCCCATTGCCAGAAACGTCGCCTATCATATGCAGTATTTTGTGTCTTTTCAGGCCACAGTGTTATTCACGAATGCGTTGAGGATTTTTTTTTCTTTCAAAGCACTATTGGTGCTCTTCCCAAAACTCAGTCGCTCATCTCCGCAGAGCGCCACTCATTACGGATGGGAGAATACGCGCTGCGCAGAGGAAAGAGCGTCATTAAATTCACCGGTTGCTGAGCACAAAGACCTAAAATGCCAAGTGGCCAGCAACAAACAGCACAATCACAGTTGTAATAGATAAGACTTAACGCGGTTCTTGAACTGGGGGTAAGAGACAATTATGGGAGCGAATTCCAGAGTGGAACAATGTGAGGGAAGAAGCAAAAAGACAAGTGAGGTGATCTGCAGTGTGGCAAGTGAGTGGATTAGAGCGTGGTGAGTGACTGTGTGTTAAGCCAGGCGGTGTATTTCCAGTGATCTCAGACGGTCAACCCAAGTTGCCTGGGTCTCTGTCCCGTAACCTCCTGTCAGTGAGCCTTCCACACTTCACGTGGCCACCTAGCCTGGCACAATAGCCGTGCACACTTCCACTTCGTGGGAAATTGTGGCTGTTGTTTAGGTGCGAGTCCGACTCTCAGCCTCAAATGCTTACCGAGCGCGGTGTTTAAGCATCAGCACTAGGGAGGCCAAGGTAGCCGGGCATGGTGCTGGCCGCCCACCCCCTCGTGTGCCGTTACGTTCTTCATAGGTGCTCACTAACAACAGCACTTGCCCCCGCTGTTAAAGACTCTACGGGGAGGTGATTGCACGCTTTCGCGACCAATATTATTCATAATCAAGGTGAGGTGATTGCAGGCTTTCGTGACCAATATTCATAATCAATGTTTTTGGGTTAGATCGCGTTATTTATAAATGTGCCGTAACCCTCCACCACCCGACACAGCCAATTAGTAAGGGATTTGTCACGTAAACAAAAGGCGCCAATTCGTTACTACTTCAGCCCACCGGCGTGTTGGAGAGTAAATCCACAACATTTACAATTTGAGTACGACGTTTCGCTGGTAATTACATCCAGCATTATAGGGCGATAGATCTCCCGAAGTAGTATCTAATTGGCGCGTTTTGTTTAGTGATAAATCCCTTACTGATCCCTTACTGATTGGCTGTGTCGGGTGGTGGAGGGTTACGACACATTTATACTTACGCGATCGAACCCAAAAAACTTTATTACGGAGTGTGTATGTTCTCGCCCTGTTCTGCATGGGTTTACCCCGGGGTTCTCAGTGGAACTGGCTTTGGCCGAAACATCTCAAATGCTGAGAAAATGTACGTGCAAAAAAACGCGATTAGGATGACACCTAGCAACATCACCACTCCACTGTGAAACTTGGCAGGACCCTGCTAAAGAAGAAGAGTCTTGAGGCTCAGCCCTTTCTGGGCCAACAAGCGTCATGCTGTAATCACAACCATGTCAATACAGCCGTGTTTCATTCCTCACAGCCGAAAACACGCCGGATGCAGAAAAAACAAAACACCACTGCAATGTTGCTTTGGTGAAGTCGTTGGCGATCGAACTGAGACCATTAAACCCGCCACACGGCTGTACAACGCAGTTTACATCACGGGCGGCTGACGGCCAAATTCGAAAGCAGCATCTCAGTTGCACTGGCTCAGCTATCTCTGACCCGGCCATCACGAACTCGCTGATCCGCCCGACCTCCTCCGTATGTTCCTTAAACTCCTCTGTGACCTCCGCCACGGCGAACATCAAATCGCTCACCCCCCCACCCCCATCCTTCTCCATTCTTCGGGCACCGATCCAGCATGCGTGGAGCTCGAGTCGGTCATCATCGTCGCGAGACGCAGGCGATGATGCCCGAGACGCTGTTTCTGCTGCCCTCGCGCAACGTCCTGAACAAGGTGGGGGGGGGGGGCACTAACTCTGCTCGGCGAGAAGCCTCCCTCACGTGGCCTTGAAGGCCTCCCGCACGTGGCCTTGATCTCGCAACTCGGCCCAGAAGAATCGGTTCCTTTCAACTCGGACGCGTCGAGGTCCAACCTTGACCGCTTATGAGCCCCTGGGGGTGGCGGAGGGGGTGGGGGATGCGGCCTCAACATCTCGGATCTGGACTCGTGTGGCGCTCGGGGAAGGTTCATGTTGGTTCGTTTTGATGGGGGGGGGGGGGGTATAAACGTGAGTACCGGTTTGTTGTGTTGCTGGCTCGCCAGCCCCTGCCGTCGGATTATGAAAGGTCCACCAGTCGAGTTCATTAATGTAACGAGGTGAGAACCCGCGGGACCCAGGATGAGTCGCATTTGCAAGAATGACGTGGGTCACCAAGAAGGCGAGTCGCAGAGATCATCGACAGTCGCATGTTGATGTCGAGGTTTGAGCCACGTGATGTTGTAGGTGTCTGATGCTCATTCATAATAAAGGTTTTTGGGTTAGATCGCGTTATTTATTCACGTGTCGCAACCCTCCACCACCCGACACGGCCAATCAGTAAAAAATGTGTCACGTTGACAAAAGACAAATTAAATGTCTGATGCTGCCCGTGACTGGTTCAAGTGGGCAGTGTCTGATCATCAGATCTCGCTGAGAGTTCCACAAAAAAACCGAATAGACTCACGCTGAGACCCCTTTTAGCGTCACAAAGAAACCATCGACTCACATAGGCACCCATGGACTCGCACAGAGAACCATAGCCACCCGAGGTGTGGCTGTCGTGTTCGCAGTCGCGACCTGGACGCTCCTTCGCTCCCCTACGGTGGACGAGGTGGCCGCGTCATGCTGCGTGACGCTGGAATTCGGTTCAATGCGGAGTGCTGCCTTTGGCGGACTTTCGATGACGAGGCTCACGCTCGGGACTCGTGAGCTGGCCCAACATGTGGCCTCCACCCACAACCAAAACGCCCTGGAGCCACCGTCTAAGATTATTCGATAAGTTGTCCATCTCAACGCCCCTGGGCCTCATCCTGCGGCCCTTGCGGCAATCGACACCGTTACCGCGACGTGTAATTTGTACCGTCGCAACGTGCAACACTATCCCACGCAGAGGTCCACACTTTGCTGTGCCGCGTTCTCCTCGCGAGACACGGCTCCCCCGCGATGCTCACGGGAAGGGGAGCTTTGTAATAGTTTGGGTGGCGATCCACCATCCCTCGCTCCCGCCTGCTCAGAGCTCGAGTACAGGCCAGCAGTGGAGTGACGAAAGAGCCGCGCGTGTACACGCGTCGTTGTGGCTGGCCTCGCTCCCCGTGTCGGGCCGCGGGGCAGCGCTTGCTGTGGCTTCGCGTGCGTTTTTAACTTCAGGCGCAGGCGCATGCCTCCAGAGGGCTTATCTCACGTCATAAAATGCGTTTTGTTTTTTTGGCAACAGTCAAGGCTGAAGCCCGATGCATTTTTTTTAAGAGTCTACAGCCTCGCAATAACGATCAAGTCTCTGCGTTCGTCAACAACGCTGCCCTGAGTGGGAAAACATATATATATAGCAGAGAGACTTCATCTCTCTGCTATGAAGAAGGGCAATTGCCCGAAACGTTGTCTGTTATATACTTTTATTTATTTATTTTCAGGCCCCACACACACGCAGTGTTATTGACGGATGCGTTGAGATTGTGTGATCTGTGCCTGGGCGCCGCTGCCAATGCAGCAACAGCATCACAACAACAGACGTTTAACTTTGACCACAGCTAAGGGGTTCGGTGTTAGAGCGGCGTGCATTTCTGTTCCGTACTGATTCGCGATGTGCTTTCAGACTTTGAAAAAATGTGGCTCAAAACCGGGTGGCTGAGAGGTCAGAGCGTCGAGCCGACACTGTTAAGGCCGCTGACTTCGAATCCAGGCTTCAACCACACTGCCTGTGCTTAATCCGAGTCCCTACATTTGTAGCGAGATAATAACCTCAACCCGGTCACCAATGACTGACAGGAAGAACAAAAAACATCACGTAAAAATTTGGTTCTGCACTTAAATCGACCAAATTCCAGCTCTGCGAATTAGAATGTTGTTGGCTGTCATGCGACGAGCCTCGCTCTCGCATGCCCAGCCAGGGGGAAAGTGCTGGCCTCTCCTGTGCGTGGGTCAGAGGTCAACTTGAAGAAGGGATCTCAGAGGTAGCTCTGTGATACCCAAGTCTGTGGGCCGTTCTCTCGCTAGAAGGGTTGCAATGTCCTGCGGAATAACTTTGGGGGGAATAATACCAACAGAATATATGGATAAGCAGGTGTGTATGGTGCAGGTGACAAGTGTGTATGGTGCAGGTGACAAGTGTGTATGGTGCAGGTGACAGGTGTGTATGGTGTAGGTGACAGGTGTGTATGGTGCAGGTGACAAGTGTGTATGGTGCAGGTGACAGGTGTGTATGGTGCAGGTGACAGGTGTGTATGGTGAAGGTGACAGGTGTGTATGGTGCAGGTGACAGGTGTGTATGGTGCAGGTGCCAGGTGTGTATGGTGCAGGTGACAGGGACACTGAGAGGCGTGTATGGTGCAGGTGACAGGTGCGCTGCGTAGGTGCGCGCGCCCGTAAGTGGCGGTTCGCTTACACGATGAGCGACCCGGAGCTGAGACCTTGCAGAGCGTTTGCGGGGATGAGGTCAATCATGGGGTTGTCCAGGATTTCGCTGTGACATGGTGACAACAGGAAGCGACGAGATTAGATTAAGGGCAGGATGTTTTCCGTTCTTTTGTTGTTCGGTGTGTGTGTGTGGGTGGGTTTTTTTTTTTGTCACGCGAAAATAACACCACGACGAACGTGGCTCGCATCGACCCCGCACTTCGTTCGCCCATCACCATCGACCGTCGTCACCATCGGCCGAAGCGACCCGCGAGCGACGGATGCAGCATGCAGGACCCACGGTCTCTTCGGGATTTACAAGTCACGCAAGCTGACAGCGGAGATCGCCCGCGATGGCAACGCCGAGAGCTCGGATTGATTGGCATCGAAGCCATGGAGCACCGTCGCAAGACCCCTCTTCTTCGAGACCAGAGGGCCCAGAGTGACGCTGTTGTCAATGCTGGCCACGACCGAGTCGCGGCACAGGGCAGCGTGAAGCCAGGGGGCGAGCGAGCCCGAGGGCCTGCGACCACAAACCCAAAGACCCCCCCCCCACCCGAGGTGTGACGGAAACGTTCAGGTGGAGGCTGGCGATGGCAGGGTCTCGAGAAGCTGGCAGGAGAAGGGGGAATTCCGGAGCCAGTGGCAGACTCACTCTGGGAAGGATGCAAGACAATCTAGATTTGAAGTTTTCGTGACTGCAGGGATCCATACTCTTTGGTTCTTTCGGTAAAGTCACGTAGGAATAAAAGAAATTTAATTCAATCACTTAATTGATTTTATTTTATACCTACGTGACTTTACCGACAGAACCAAAGAGTAAGGATGTAAGACAGTTGGAGTTGAGGCAGCAGCAGAAGTTTTAGGCCCTGAAATAAGAAAGGCTCAGGCGCCCTGCCTGGTGAATGTTGCCCACCCGCCTGCAGTACGGAGATATTTATATTCTCAAAAGCTGGAATTTAGCCACATTAAGTGCTGAACCAACTTGAATCGTTAGTGACCGAGTTGAGACCGTCAGCTCGCTGCGCTTGAGAACCCCGGTTTAACCAGACATGGCTGGAACCCACGATTCAAACCCAGGATTTCTGGCGGTGCTGGCTCAGCAAACACCCCAGGGCCTCTAAATCGATGTCAGTGATCGATTCTCCGCGGCCGGCCGCTCGACTCACAGGATGAAGCTGAGAACTGTGGACTGGATCTTGCCCACGTGCGGGAAACACTCAATGGCCGTGTTGGCGATTCCCCTGCCGGAATAAACACAGCAGAGTCCATCATTGACAACACCGTCCACCATCGACCACACAGTCCATCATCGACCACACAGTCCACCATCGACCGCACAGTCCACCATCGACCACACAGTCCACCATCGACCACAGAGTCCACTATCGACCGCACAGTCCATCATCGACCACACAGTCCACCATCGACCACACAGTCCACCATCGACCACACAGTCCACGATCGACCACACAGTTCATCATCGACCACACAGTCCACGATCGACCAAATCCCAACAGCGTGCACCACCCATTTGCCGATCTCACGGCAGCGCCTCGAGCGAGAAGTCTGCAGGGAAACGCGCGGCCTCCCGACGACACAATGGGGGGGGGGGGGGGGAGCGGATCGGACACGACGGAGCGGGACTCACAGGAACCTGAGGCTGGGCAGCTCGTGGAACGCGTCCCTGTGGATGTAGACAAGGCGATTGGCGTTGCGGATTTCTCTGCAAGGCAATGACGGCGCGAGACACATCGTGTGAACGTGTGGGCGACAAGTAGCCCCGCAGCCCGTGAAGAACATTCAATTTGTATTTCATTGGCTAATGTTTTATTCCTTAATGGCATTTATGAAGGTTCAATCTTGATGCATTGCTGCTGCATTGGCATTGTTGCTTCATTGACATTGTTGCTGCATTGGTAACCCCCCACCTCTCTCTCCCCCTAGCTCTCCCGTCGCCTCCGCAGATCTTACTCTGCCCCCCCCCCCCATCTCTAGCCCCGCCCATGTACCCTACCTCTATAGTCTAGAAAACCTCGTGCCACGGCAGCTCTCTCGCCTTCTTCAGCAGTTGTTCATTGCTGTAGTTGTCCCACCTGAAGACGATTGCTTGTGTTGCGATCGAAACGTCGTGATCTGTTTAATTTCATTTCTAGCAACGTGACTTTACCGAAAGAACCAAAGAGCATTTATGAAGGTTATTTTCTTTTTCTCATAGATATTTGCGGTATATCTATATGTTAGACGGCATGGTGACGCCGTGTCCTCGTGGCGTCCTGAGTGACGTCACACCCGACAGACACGTTATTAACCCCGCCCCTGGCCCTGCTTGGCACGCGAGCCAGGTTCAGTTGTATTCTTGCGAGGGCAGCGTATCACGGTTTGGATCCAGCTCGGCTCGGGAAATAGCCCCAGTGGAAAACCACTCAAACCATGAGGGCCCCGTGCCTGCTTCGCTCGGGTGTGCCAGTGTAAGAGGGGCAACAGTGTCAATGGGCTATCACCTAGTTAAACTCAAGGAGCTTGCTAGACGTATTTTTTTTTACGTATGTACAACCTCAATGAAATTTTGATTTGAAGCTTTAGTGACTGCAGGAATCCATACGCTTGAGGCTGCACCCATCTCAGGCCTATACAAGACCTTGTTTCAGTCGCTTCCTCTCTCTCACCTGAAGACGGTCGCTTGTGCTGCGATCGAAACGTCGTGATCTATTAATTTTCTACCTACGTGACTTTACCAAAAGAACCAAAGAGTATGGGACCTCAATAAACGTTGAGCGAATAAACGAACCTGGATTGATATCACGCTCTCTCTCTCTATCACGTGACGACACGGGGACAGGGTCCCCCCCTATCGGCATCTGCTCCTATGCGACGCGGGGTGACTTTCAGCACCTGGCTCAGCGGTGGGCATCGGCCTGCCAGCAGGGGGCAATAGTCGCTATGTGAGTCGTCTGTGGGCAATTTTTCTAACGTTTGAAAATGTGAACCGAGATTGACATTGCACGTATTTATTTACGGGGTGAAACCTGGAGAATCCGGAGGAAACCCACGCAGAGCAAGGGGGAGAACCTCGAGAAGCAAACCCCGCCACCCCAAGGAGCCTGACGCCACCACGATGCAATTATTCCAGTTCCGATTCTGCGTCACATAGCAACTTAACCCCAACGCTAACCCAGACAGACTTCGGAGCAGGGTGGGAAAGAGCTGGGAACGGACTTTGGGGGTGAATTGGGAAGATGCTTGGGAGGATTTAGAAAAGACCAGCGAAGGACCGAGTGAGGGCCTGGGAAAGATGACTCTGGAGGAGAGGGACTTTGGAGGAGCTGCCTCAAACATCTACACGGTCTCTCCAACCTACCGGCCATCCTCCTCGATGATCTCAACAAAGACCCCCCCCACCGTGGCGAGGTGTGGGACGCGAGGAGGGGGTTACCACGCACATGTCCTGCAGCTGCGAGAGACGGGAGAAGGACATGGCCTCCAAGCTGCGCAGGTGCCTGGAAACTAAGATGTCGCTGTGAAAACAAAAGTCCGCGAGTCAGAGTCAGAGGCCGCACGGTCCATAGGGGCAACGGGTAGAGACCTCGCCTCATCCCTGCCCTGTTGTTTGGCAGGTCACCTCTCGTAAACGAGACCTTTCCTGGTCTGTTGAGTTTTCACCTGGAACCTGGTGACGTTAACGAGCTTGAATGGTGATCACGGTGCGGGGATCACGGTGCGGGGATCAAGTTGCGGGGGGATTACGGGGGAAGAGCTCCGAGCGGAGACACTCACATTTTCGTGACGTTTCTCAGCCTGGAGAAGGCTCCTGACGGGACACGTTCGATAACTGTGTTCATCAACACCCTGGCAGCACGCACGGAGACACAAAGACAAAAATTGTGGTGCCACAACCACGGAGAAACTCCGCAAATGCCGCGATCCCCTCCCGGCCTCCGCACTGAAAACACACAACCCGCACGCAGCGCAACCCACGTAGTGTCCTGACGGGGGGTTGCCTGGCACATCGGGTTTTAATCCGAAGGGCTCCTAGAGGTAGAGTCCCACGGTTTCCCGGTGCCAGGAGATTGGCCGACCCTCGCGTGAGTAATTCGGGCAGGGGCGGGGTGCGACAAACCCGCTCGCCAGCGTTTACACAGCGACGATTGCATTAACGGCGAGGCGTGCGCGCATAATCATACCGCCGCCGGTCCTTTTTCTTTAGCGCTAGCCTTTGTGTGCGAGCGGATTAGGGCTTAGCCACTCGGAGGTGCGCGTGCATATTCATACAGACCCTTAGCATTGGCCTTGGTGCGCTGCGGATTAGGGCTTAACCACGGGGGGGGGGGGGGGGGGGTGCGCGCGCGCATATTAATACCGCTATTTTCTTTAGCGCTAACCTTGAATTAGTGCCTGCAGGGTCGCGTGCGTGCACGCCTCCACGTTCGCTTTTGTGGTGGTGTACGTGTGCGGGATAACCCTGGGCGGTGGTGAGACAGCCAATTAGCGATGTCCCTCAGAGAGGGCGCTGGCGCGGGGGGATGATCACCCGATTGGCGGGGGCCCGGCAAGAGGGGCCGAACGGCGCGGTGGAGGAAGGAGTGGAGGAGGGAGTGGAGGGGGAAAACGTTGCGCTTCACCTGCCAAACGAGGGCGGCGGAGCGGACGTCGACCCCCACAAGATCCCCCCCGTGGAGCCTCAACAGACTGTTGGGGCAAGTGCTTTTAGCGAGTGGCATCGGTGGAGACCGTCATGGCACGCGAGGGGGTGGGTGGCCACGCGTGCACGCACGCTCACACGTGGAACGAGTTAGTTTGTATTTGTGATGGGGAGCAGTACATCGGCAAACGCGGAGATGCGTGGCGTGGTGAGTCGCTAGGATCTGTTTGAGCCAACTTTCCTTACAGAAAATATATTTTTTTATGATCCATTTGATTAATTTCCGAATTATTTTAGATTTCTCTTGGAACGCAGTTTGTTGTTGCTGACACTTTTGTGATTCCGAGTGACACCCACGGTCACTCTTTTGAAGGCAGAAGCAGTCGCGTGCATGTCACGTAAAGCCCCGATAATGAACACCAATTCGAACTCACAAACACGACGCCTGTATCACGACCGCCGAGCCAGCAATCACGCGTCCGTGTAATTGTCTAATCTAGCTGCCTTCGCCTCTCTCTTGTCGAAGCGGGTTTTCCAGGGTCAACAGAGAACTGACACAGCAAGGATTAACCTATCTGCTGCTGCTCCTGCTGCCGCTGCCTATGATGACATGAGCCACCGCTGATGTTGGTTAAAATGATCAGATGCCATTCTACTCTTCACCTAATCGACGCGACGCTTGGCAGCCATAACCTTCAGAGCGAACACCTCGCTGGTAAACACGGCCACACAAGCATTATGAGCAATGGCTTTAAGGCTCGGTACTGGCACCGTCGCTACTTAACATCGTTATATATTAGTCACCTGCCATGTACACCACCTCGCAAGTTCATCTACGCCGTAACCCTGAATGCACAAGCATCGAGAACATTGCCAATGCTCTTACAGCTGATGTAGTTTATATGAGGAATGTTTCCATCTCTGGAGACTCCAACCAAATCCCTCCAAATCCACCGCTAGCGCTTCATACTTGAACAACTTTCATGTCGCCTAATTTTACGATTTAAAAAATTATCGATAAAAAGATAAGCCTGGGACAATACTTTTAGAACTCAGATGGGTAAAACAATTTCAATGTGTGTATATACTGTTCCACACTTGGAATGATCAGTAGCGTGTCATACACTCAGTGTGACGCTCATATCATCTTTAATTACACAACTGTGTGAAGATCTTGCGCAAATGACAGCCACTGTTGTCCAGGCATCACTGCCCTTGAGCCGCCTTTCAACTGACAACCCCGCGGCTGTCCGCCGATCACACATCCCACGTCACAAATCCACGTCACATCAACGTCACACCCCACGTCACACCCCACGTCACACCCACGTCACACCTCACGTCACAAATCCACGTCACACCCGCGTCACACCCCACGTCACAAATACACGTCACATTCCACGTCACACCCCGCGTCACACCCCACGAGCTGTAGGCCCGGGGCTCCATCCACTCAGGGGGTGCTGCTGGTGGTCACAGTCAGCGCCACGAGTCGGCAGTCCCTGTAGTCTGTAGTTTCCCTGTTGTGGTGCCGCATTCCCTTTGCCGCAACAGCGCCTCTCAATTCCCTTATGCATTACACAAATATCTTCATAAGGATCGTGTTCAACTGCAACAACCACGCAGGAAATGGCACCCTTACTGCGTGGTCCGGTGCGTGATGACCCCCACTCCAAGATATCTCGGGGTTATCGTCGTTAGATGCCTGACACAACAACAGATCGGTAAAAAGAGCAAATCAAGAATCGCCCTGCTAGAGTCACTTGCAGGAAGGAACCTGAGGTGCTTCAGATGGTGCGCTGCGAGCTGCCACCCTCTCGCTGATCTTCTCGGTGGGGTAGAGTCACTGCGCTCCAACCTTGCCCGGGAGCTCGGACACAAAACGGCCAGATGGACAATGAAATAATGCGATGAGCATCACGACAGGGAGCATTGAATCTGGCACCAATCCCCTGGCTCCCTTTTTCCGGCGAACGTGCTGCCCCCAGGTATCCGCACAGACATCCAAACTGCGAGAGGGGGTTTACACATTTCCTTGCCACCTACCCATCGACCAAGACATCAACAACGTCCCTCACCACCACCGACTCAAGTCCCGACCCCCACCCCCCCCCCCCCCCCCCCCCCCTTGTGTGATTACGCTGCTGCTGCTGCTACTGCTGCTGTCAATATCCTTGCATCTTTCTACCCAGATTCGGAGTAACGCCACTGCTGTGCGAACAGTGGCACAATGCGGTCGTCCACAATAGACGCCTCCTCATTCGACACCCAAACACCATCGCATCTCCTCCTGGCTTCGACATTCTTCCTCCCACTCGAGGACACTGGTGGAACCATCTTGCGCGCTTGAACATTACCGGTGCGATGCGCAACATCTCCTTTATGAATGGAAAATCAAAGGCACGAGCCACGGCCGTGCCATTGTGGCCATGCAACCCAAACTATGGATCATACAGTAAAACCAAAGAGACACATAGCGACTCGAAGAGAAATGTAGGGACCGCGTGTAAACCACTGTTGTCTGCGCTGCTTCAACGGAGGAGAATGAATAGCAAAACGGCACGCGGTCTCTCTGTTGAAGTCCTCTAGTCGTGGCCAGCAGACCTCGACTTTCACATCGAGCCCCTGAACATGTTGCCTTGCGCAATAATAGAATTGCCCAATTTAATTTTAATCAACCAATGAAAACTTGCGAAGAGCACCCGGCTCATTTATCTCGTTTGCATGGATTTGTAGCATTTAGAGGTTACACACCGAATCGCTCGACTCGTTTTCAGAAGGATCCTACCACATCGGGATGTTGGGGTCTATTGCATGATCGAGTGTGTCACGTCGCGCGGAAGGAAATCTGAGAGAACCCACGACCACGCCCAACAATCGAGTAAACGCTCACAGCTCCGCACAGATAGATTAAAGTTTCCATTGCACCTGCAGGTATCTCGCAGTCCAGGCGATTACACTTCCTTGCGGGACGCGTCTTGCGGACTAACATCGCGATGAGCTTGTAAACGCGACCTCTTTGCCTATGATCCTAGAACACCTGCACCGGCTAGGAGGAACACAATGACAATCTCTTGGGAGGCGTGTGCAGTGTCCGAACGAGACTTGAACTCTAGCGGTCCAAACGTGCGAGGAACTCAGCGTGAAGACGTTCCCGGAGCGGTGTGGGCGATTGAGTTGATGATGGAATTAGTGTGCTGACCTTTCTCTGATGACCATGGTTAATCATACGCTCACAGATTATGTTGATGATGATGAGTCGGGCGGTGTGGTGGCTACGCTGCACGTGGCTGCCTGCGATCTATCGATGTGGAGGCAGCAGCGAGGGTTGGTGGGTCACACACAGATGGTGTGAAACTTCCTTTCCCTTGAATGGGCGTCGAGCAGGTGCCGTACCCTGGCTCGCCAGCAGAAGGCGGTACAGCAAGTTGACTAATCGCCATATGTGCCCATCTGTATGGGGATGCTGTTGCCCCCTTACGCAAGGCATCGCTTTCCTCTGGGTGCACCAGCTTCCTACTCACTTGTATAATAATCATAATAAACACAACTCATGATCAATTGGCTAAAGCATCGTACAAATAAAAACCCAATGAAGGAACAACAGGACCCATCCTCCCTGAAAACGAGTCCCGCGACTCAGCGTGGCTCTCTTGGATAAGTGATGATGGTGATGATGATGGTGATGATGATGGTGATGATGGTGATGATGGTGATGATGGTGGTGGTGATGATGATGGTGATGATGATGGTGATGGACTCACAGGTGCTGCGTGTGTGCCGGCAGCAGGCTCAGCTCCAGCGTCTTCCCGCCCACGCACTGCACCAAGTTCATCCAGTCGTGCGCGCACACGCACCCGGGGGAGCACGCGCCCCCCTGGACCTTCGGCGGTAGCGCCAGAACCTGGAGCCAGAGCGCGACCAGGGCCCCCCACGACGTCCTACGGTGCTCCCAACTCATGGCCGCGTTTGCGGGAGCAGGGAGTCGCCGGGGAAGAGAGAGAGAGCGCAGGGGAGTCACGGGAAGGAGCGAGGGAGTCAACGGAGAGAGGCAGCAAGGGAGTCACAGGGAAGGGTGTTGGTCGTCACGGGAAGGAGCGAGGGAGTCGCTGCGGAGGGAGCAAGGATTAAGGGGGGAGGCAACAGGGAGTTACGGGGCATGGGAGCAGGGAGTCAGGGTGGGGAGGGAGCAGGGTTTGGGCAGCGGGTGACGGGAACTGGGAGCTGGGCTCGTGGCTCGGAGAGCCGCGGGGAACTCTGCCGTGGCTTCTATTGCTGCGGCTGCTGCTGCTACTGCGGCTGCTGCTGCTGCTTCTGTCGAACGAACGTCGGAGGCGCGAGAAGGAGGAGGATGAGGAGGAGGAGCAGGGGACCTTGGTCGGATCCTGCATTTATCCCCTGCAGGTGAAGAGGGAGGGGTGGGGGTCAAGGTAATCACCCCCCGTCCCGCCTCCCTCCCCGCTCCATCAATTCCATTACTTGTCGAGATTACGTTGCATAACCAAATTGGCTCACTTCATTGACCTCGTTAGCAACGGGTTAGAAGTTTGCGGTTGTGCTGTTGTTTGGAGTTGAGCCACGGATGCAGTTTGGCACGATGTCCGACGCTCTGCTCCACGTACTTCTGCAGGAACAGATATTTCATTGTTTTTCATGATTATGTTTTCGTGAATTGTTTCAATCTATTGCCTGGAAAATCTCACGATTTGGAACAGCTTTGTCTGCGGTGATCCGGTGTCAAAAATCCACCCATCCCCTCCACCCCCCCCCCCCCAAGTTCTGAAGTCCTCTATGTATTAAGGTGTTTACATGTAGCAGTAAACCGGAGCACACAGAGAAAACCCCACGCATGCGAGGGGGAAACACTCTATCTCTCACAGACACTAACACGTGGGAGTCCCACGTTCTTCCTGTAGCCCCGTCTCCTGGTGAGCCAGGGTACGGACACCTTCTCGACGCCCACGTGAAGGGAGTCTCGAAGCCCATCTGTGTGGTGATCCACCAACCCTCACTGCCTCCACGGCGCTGGTTTACAGGCCACGTGCATAGCCACCTGCGCCCGGCAGTTCTGATCGCGATAATTTGATGTTTGATGATGACGACGATGTTCGCTTAAGACCATTCATCCGAAACGTCTTTTTTGTCGACATCGTTATCATAGTCCAGAATGCTGCATTCAGTTTCTGAAGAACAGCACTAACCAACGTGGTGAAGTATGGTCAAACAATCCTCATGACCGACGAACATCCTTCCCCCGCACCTCCAATGAGCACGGTTGGCAACGTACGGTGCGAAAGAAGTTCAACGTACATCCAGCAGTGGATTGTTACAACTACTGCAATGAATCTAAATCACTGATCGCCTGATGATGCTGCTGAGTTAGCAGTGGTGCAGAACACCGCTCAGCACATCTGTGACTAACGCTGGAGCATTACAAAGGAAAGACATATCATGTCGGCGACGTTTCGGGCAATGTGCCCTTTTCAGAGCACATAAAATAGATGTGATAAATGTATTCTATGTGCTATGAACAAGGGCCGTTATCTATATTTCTTCCCGTTATTGACGAATGTGTTTATGTTTTTGTTCGAATCTAAATAGAGTACGCCGAGTCTCGCTCAAACTATTAAATGCACCTGTCACGATAATAATCGATTAATCGATACACGCGTTGCATCCAGCTGTCCGAGGCTGAGAAGTTCAGCCCAGGGCTATCTCTACCGGCTGGTTGTCAAAGCTGACGTCCCACCCCCAGGTGCCCGCACATGGCAGCAGAGATTTTTCGCACGGTGCAGCCACGCCGATAGCAACCGTCAGGGGACGCTCTCACACCGCAACGGAGTCAGACGCAAGTTCAACCCCAGCGAATTGTCCTGGCCCTGACCTATTGATTTTATTCTACGCTTGCCGCGTGATGGCAGCGGCGATGTGTTCTGGAGATCGATGGCAATGCCGAGGCCTGCTGCTGGGCCACGTCGAGAGGGCTTTAGGACGGAGTTCGTGTAGTTTTACTGTTCGTCCTCCTCCTGTCGAAGAAGCGCAGACCGCAGTGGTTTACGATAGATCTCCATCCATCTCTATGAGTCTCCGTGTGTCTTTATGGGTTTACTGTACGGGCCATAGTTCGAGTCGCACTACTGTGGTTGGGTCTTTCGTTTTCCCATTCAAGAACGAGATCTTTACGCAGCCATCTGTTGGTGTTTTGTTGCTGTTGATGGCTCCCGTCAGTGTCCTCGTGGGATGACTGTTAAAGCCAGGAGGTGGCGCGAGGGTGCTTGGGACCGGAATGGGGAGGTGTTTATTGTGGCCGTGCCGCGTTGCTGCAACTCCGTTCGCACAGCAGCGGCGTTCTTTGGGATCTGGGATTGTGAGACGCAGCGCGGTCCCAGAAAGGGGGTTCGGGAGTTGAGTCCGTGGTGTCGATAGCGTTTGGTTACCCAGGAAACTCGCAGGGAGCCTCGACACTATTTTCCAGAAGGGTGCTGCTACATTTCCCCAGTAAAGGGCGATGATTGCTTCGTGTGTGACCCCAATTAAGTAATTTTCTTTTTTTTTCTTTTTTACAAATGTGGACCATGACGCCGGCACACAATGGCCTGTAACTCGCGCGAATGACACCGCGTTGATCTTTAACGCCCACCGCGAAAGCGGACATCGCCTCGTCTTTTCAACGGTGAAACGCACCGGCAGCGTTAGCCAGGGCGACCGCGGGGAAATTGGTAGCGCGAACCGTCGACAGAGCGCTGGGGGTGGGCCACGTCACCGCCTCCCCAGGACCTTCTCCGAATCACACGGAGCTTTTGATTGTCGGCCCACGGCATCGAGTTCCATCTCACGTCGGAGGTTCGCTACGGTCAGCGCGTGGGAGAGCGGTAGCGCAGTGGCAAGCGCGTTGCGCTACGAACCCCGAATCACCCGAATTCGATTCGCGCTCACGGCCAACACCAGTGACAATTACGAGTCCTGAGCCTCCCCTGTGTCGGCTCAGCCTCAAATGAGCACTCGGTTGCGGTGTGTAGGACATCAGCACTAGGGAGACAAAGGCGGTCAGGCGTGGCGCTGGCCACGTGTACCGTGTCGGCCCTCATGGGTGTTCGCTAATAATACCCCCAACAGCCTGTGTAGGCTATACGGGGGGTCTTTGTGTGAGTGTGTAATGTGTGTCTAGGTATTTCTGTGTGTGTGAGTGTGTAATGTGTATCTAGGTATTTCTCTGTGTGTCTATGCGTTTCCGTGTGTGTTTTATCTGTGGTTGTATCAATGCATTGTTGTGCATGTACGCGTGTGTACTGTATGTGTGTGTATGGGAAGCGGTGGCGACCCGAGTTCGATTCCCGCTCACGATCACTAACACTGGCGAATATTTGAACTGGTGCTGGGCTTCCCCTAGCTTAAAACGAGTCCCTAGTGCGATGTGTAAACATCAGCACTGGGGAGACAAAGGCGGCTGAGTTTGGTGTTGGCAACCCACCCGCTCGTGTGCTATGCTGGCATTCATAGGAGCTCGCTAACAGCACTTGCCCCAGCAGTCTGTTCCGGCTATACGGGGGATCTTTGTCTTTGTTTTTTGTGTGACTGGTGTGTGACTGGTGGGCATGAGTGGTGTGTGTGTGTGACACTGCACTCACCGTGAGACTGCCATGTGTGGCAATACTGTGTAACACGTTTTGTGATACTTGCGTAGTAAAGTGTCGCATACTGTGACACTTCGCTGTTTTTGGCACGTTGTGAAACGTTGAGTGACACTTGCCCCAGGCTACCCACAGCCCCAGCTGCCCACAGCCCCAGGCTGCCCAAAACAGCCCCAGCTGCCCACAGCCGGGGGCCGCCCACCACAGGAGCTGCTCATAACCCCCAGGCTATAGCACGCAATTGCCCCAACAGTGTGTTCACGACTGTATAGGGGATCTTTGTCTTGGTGTCGGTGTATGAATACGGCGTGTGTGTAAGCTCGTGTATGTGGATATTTAGGTATGTGTGTGGGAGTACATGTTATTTCTACTCGTGTATGTATAGCTATGTATCGTGTGTGCGTGTAGGTGTGTATATTAAATGTCCCGATACAAAATCAAATCTATATTCTGATACTTCTTTGGTAGCGGTGCACAACCAAAAAAAATCGTCAATAACACCGTGGCCTTAAAAGAAAAGCACATAAATAGGCGACGTTTCGGCCGATGAACTTTCAGAGCTAATAGAGAGCGCGACGCCAGAGAGATCGCGTGAAAAATAGTTGTAGTCTGTACTGCACACCAGCGAGCCGGGATAAAAATTATGAAGAAGAAGGGCCATTACCCGAAACGTCACCTATTATTTCTACATGTATTATTTCGTAAGGCCGCAGGGTTGAAAGACGATCGTGTTCGTGCGGGACGGGGAAATTCCCTTGTTCTGCATGTATGTTGTATGTATGTTGTATGTAAGTTGAACTTCATCATCAGGCCTCCTTTGCCAGTACCAAAATATACTAATAGGGGTTTTCCCCTTTTTTCTGGCGTCATCTGGTCGAACACCATATGAGACTAGTCTCAAAGAAAAGCTGTCTCTGGTGTGGACCAATCAGTTTCAAGGACAATGCATACATTATCGGAGTATTATTTTTTGTTTGCATTTGACTGCAAGTATTGTGGTTAATGTAAACATGATTTCTTGCAAAAGGTGTCAGTTTTGTTGCCAGAAAAAGGGGAAAACCCCTATTAGTATAAGTTGAACTTCTTTCGCACCATACGTAGGTAACCGTGCTCATCGGAGGTGCGGGCGAAACGACAACAAACTAAGTACAAACAGCCAGTTCTGAAGAAATTGGTTTCCTACCAAGATTTAAAAGTGCATAAGCTCCCAGCGGCTTCCTCATATCGTAAGGGAAGAGCGTTCCAGACGGCCGCAGAAGCAGCGCATCCGAAAGCGCCACGCGACGCTGTTGACCGGCCTTTGTTCGACGGCTCGGATGAGGCAAACTGC